TATTTGTCTTCCTACCGGCTGTACTGGATGTTGTAGTTGTTTTCCTCAGTCTCTTCAAGAGACTACCAGGATACTTCCATGAAGCAGGCCACGATTTCTTGACATACACACCGTATATTATTAACTATCTCATCGTTCATTTATTTAACCATTTAATTGTTATTTTTCAAAACAGCCACTAGCTCAGGCTACACGCATGGAACCTATATAGGATCAGATGGTAGGATTGAAGAGAAGGATGTGCAAGGAAGGGGCCCTGGTCCAAATTTTTTGCAGATACTGAACAGGACGAAGAAGTATCTCAGAATATCCGACTGCTGGCCCAAGATTTGAACCCAGCACTTCCCGAATACTAAGCGGGAGGCCTAACGACTCGACATCGACGCTCGGTTCGTTGTGTATGAACAATGCAGTTGAAACAGCATCGTAAAATAGTTAAGAATAAGTCACCTCCTCAGAGACTAACCGTCGGTAGTCTTTCAAATCTCATTCTTCGCTAAGTGAAAGTTAAAGCTGACAACGAAAAGAAGTCTGTAAGTTTCAAGAGAGTAACATAGGACAGTGGGGGTGGTTAGAAAGTGTATGACATTCTCATACACCATGAATGTTTACCTAAAAGAAAAAGTGATCGTGGGCGTCAATGAATGTAATGGAGAAACCAGTTTCATTCAGCACTTCTATAATCTCATTTTAAACATTTAAAGCTGGTACACGTTTTGAGGTCTTTTATGTGGTAAAGAAACTTTTCCTCAATGTCTAAGCTCCTCACCATGAAGGTGGGTAGAGGGCGTAGTGGTAAACTTCAAAACATTGCAAACTTTATTACGATGTGGATAAGAGTCATCAGTTTCTCACTGTTTTCTTTTCTATCCTTGTAACAGACCGTGGAGACCCATAGGGTTGTGAGATGTGGAGTTTCCCACATTATCTAGACAATCGGCTCAAAGATGGCGGTAAGGTTGTCAGCCTTACGCGCCGGCAGCGCTTTACTCCCCAGGAAAATTATTTAATTAATTCCTGGTACTCATTTCTGTTAGAGGCTGAGTAAACCTCAGGGCCATAGTGCGGCTGGAAGGATTAGGTCAACTGAAGCTTCTTTAATCTATTGTAAAATGCCCCTTAGTAGGAATGGGACAAGGGACTGTTTGAGTCTCAGAGCCGGTCTTGAAGTGGACACGAAGAGAAAGTCCATGCCTCTATCGGGGATCTAATTCTAGAAACTCAAAACGTTAGCAAAACAGACTTCTATCCATTTAATGCACATATTTTGAAAATTTTAAGGTGAAACTTAATGAACAGATTAAACCGCCTAATACAAATAATGATAAGTTTACATAATTTCTTTAATAAAACTGTCACAACACAACTATTGTATATTAAGCTTAGTGCCTAATTTGGCTCTGCTACATGTTTCGGCTATTAAAAGCCATCATCAGGCAAATATATGGCTAACATATATACACCACTGAACTGCAGTACTAATAAAACTGGATACAATAATATTAATTATATTAAAATACTTGGCGTAAAAATACAATAGGCCGGTCACGGTAGCCGAGCGGTCTAAGGCTTGTACTGTTTTTGCTCGCTTGGAAATCTGGAACGTGGTTTCGAATCCCACTCAGGGCATGGATGTTTAGTTTGTGTGTATGCGTTTTTCTGTATTTGTGTACAGGTAGAGGCCTTGCGACGAGCTGATCATCCGCCCAAGGTGTCCTACCGAATGTGTAAGATCTAGAAAAACCGAAGTGAAAGGAGAAGTTCATGGTGGTAGGCCTAGGCCCACTGGGGCTGTAGTGCCAAGGAAAAAAAGACAATAAATAAGACTATATAAAACAAAAGTTATAGTATAAAACAAGAATAAAATTCTTCGAGTGATGCTTTACATCATCGAGTCAGTCGTTGGTTTTGTGATTTTGTTGTGTTCCCAAGGACAAACTGGAGTATTCAATATTTTGTGTATATAGTATATATAACAAATTGTTTTGGAGGCTCGTGATGTAGATGTAGATGTAGTAATAATAATGTTAATTATTTAGTCGGTGCCTCATCTTACAAATTATCTGTTCTGTAGGGAATGTAAACAACGACTGAACTGACAGGCTAATATTGGCGTGACGTCACAGTAACATGCCCGAGCCCTGTGGTTCAGTGAACTCTCCTTGCGCTGTGTACATAACAAGAGGCTGCGGTTGAAACTCTCCATCTTCCTTAGTAGTTTAAAGAACCTGCTTTAACATTAAACAAGACTGTAGAATTGTACACTGTACACTGAACAGGAGGAATCAGTATGAGGGATTGTGAATGGCTACTGCAAAAACTCTTCCATTCTGACGAAGGAACATTAAAACCAGAAACAGCCATTCAGTGTTGAGTGATTAAATTAGTGAGATGTCAAAATACTTTTTTCGCCAACTGAATGAATAACCGGGGTACGCGGTAGCGTAGTTGGTTGAGGGAGCTATGCTACAAGCCGGAAGGTCGCGAGTTCAAGTCCCGATGAGGTCATCGGAATCTTTTCAGTTGACCTAATCCTTCCAGCCGCACTAGGCCCTGGGGTTTACTCAGCCTCTAACTGAATGAATAAGCAGTCATACTGAAACTTCAGTATTACACATTCTGAACGAAAATTAAATATAAATATACTTCTAACTACAAGTATTGGGCCGCGCCATAGCTCAAGCGGTTAGTCGCTGGCTTCCCACCGGGGAAGCCCGGGTTCAATCCTGGGTCTGGACAAGTGGGATTTCTGGTGGACAAAGTGGCGCTGGGACAGGTTTTCTCGGAGTACTTCGGTTTCCCCTGTCAATCTTCATTCCACCAATTGCTCCACAATCACCCTCAACTATCATCTGAGACTGGTACAATAGGCCAGAAGTGACCGCAGTACAAGGGACTTAGTCCCACCCCACTAGAAATAATAAAAAAAACTACAAGAATTTATAGCTCTGTCTCTAATTCTCACATTTTACAGTTCACTACAGCACGCGCGAATTGTTCTCATTTTGCCGTGTCCTCACCGGTGGTCGCCTGATTACAGTCTTCTAAGAAGGATTATTCCTCACTCACTTAGGCAGAACACAGCAGTCGTCATATTTTTGTTGAAATTTATGGTGACATGATCTACCAGCCTTATACACTAAAGTGTCGTACTGTGATCTGCTCGATAGCCAAACTGACTTGCATGTAGTACGTTTCTTTCCACTGTGTTTTTGGATTGTTCTTAAAATCAGCCTCTCAAATAGCTTAACCGTAGTGGACAAGAGGCTGATCGGATATGTTTGGGGGAATATTTTGGGTCCTTGTTAGCTTTCGGAAGAATTATGGGTTTCGCTTCCTTCCAAAGTGTCGGGAAGTGACCAAGCCGAAGGCAGTGATTGGATAAATGTGTTAAATTCACAGGAGGTCTTCCTGGAAGATGCCCTTAAATCCAAATGTATCTTCTAATTTCAAGGATTGCAATTCTTTTGAGACGTCACATGTTTGGAAATTAACAGGGATGTCTTCATTGACGGTAGAAATCAGGGCTTCGACTTGACCCTCTACATTTCTTCTATGGCCACAGTCCTTGGCCACAGTGCGTCACACAATTCATTATCTGACATGAATTAACACTTTCTTTCCTTTCCACAACCGTTTTCTCTGTCCTTTCAAATTCAAAGGATATTATCGTACCCAGTTTGAAGTTACTATCCTGGTATTCGCCTTGGACCGACTATTAAACTTCAGAGAGATTTTCAAAAATATGTTCGACCAATATTTTTGCGGTCTAGTTATGGAGAGCCGGTCACGGTAGCCGAGCGGTCTAAGGCATGTACTGTCTTCGCTCGCTTGGAAACCGGGATCGTGGGTTGGAATCCCACTCCGGGCATGGATGTTTAGTTTATGAGTGTGCGTTTTTCTGTGTTTGTATACATGTAGAGGCCTTGCGACGAGCTGATCACCCGCCTAAGGAGTCATACCAAATATGTAAAATCTAGAAAAACCGAAGTGAACGGGGAAGTTCATGGAGGTAGGCCTAGGCCCACTGGGGCTGTAGTGCCAAAGAAAAAAAAAAGTTAATGGAGACTTATGGAAATTAATCCCCTATTATATAGATTTAAATTTTAAATATATAAACAAGTGAACGAGGTTCCTAGCATTCTTGAGTATTTTCGGAGCCATAATTGCAGAAGATATACAGCGTTAAATCACAAGAAACATAACCTTGAACGGGAAGAGGCTGAGGATTTTGAAGTAGATATTTGTGGCCTATTTTACGATTCTTTACGGACGTTCAACTGGAGATTTGTTCCTACCCTTCTTTTTTCATCCTTCAAGTTTAAAATTCATCTATATAATGTTTAAAAATTAGGCCGTGTCTAACAGAAAACGTACTACATACAAAGGCTGATGCAGACAGGGAAAATATTCAGTAATTATATTGAAAATCACAATATATCCATGTACACAGTATGTGAGCAAAATTCGGGACATTTTAATTTTAAAGTAGGTTACATATGTGTGATTACGAGGGTTAAAGTGAGCGTGTAATGTATGATTAATAGGTAAGAATTTGTATGTAGGGCTCTCTGGCTTGCTGCAAGGTACTATGCCAGTACTGAGAGGCTGTTCATACTCTTTTCAGCTGCAGAGATTATACATGGCTACTGTCAATGAGGATGGAAAATGATCTCGAATGTTTAGCCGATAATGACTTGGAAGGCGGCAATCGTGGCCTATTTAAACGCCATTCTCCTGAAGAAACCAATGGAAAGCCACGGTTAGGATATGGCTAACCTGCTCAATATTCGAACCGAGTACTTAGCGAACACAAATTTTGAGAGACACATTTACAGGGATCGACTAGGTCACATGCAGAGAAATAAAAGCACTCCCTTACGTAAATCTGACAACGATGCACGATCACAGTAAAATAAAAGACTTCAATACAGCTAGGTCTGACCTTCCTGTTTGTGGTCCAGAGTAGACTTCAAGTATGCTGACAGGACAAGAAGTAGCCTCTGGGCTCGATATGTTGCTCAGCAGCCCAACCAGCGCGCGAAACCTGCAGTATTGCTCAACTACTTGCAGTGAACAGACATGGAGGTCTACATACTGGCATGGCTGCTAGCACTGCTGTCATCTTTATCAGCACTCCCTGTCAAGTATGACCAGCGTCAAGACGGAGATTTAAACGTTCAGGCGCATTTGGAGAATTTTATAATTGTGTTAATACCCAACAATGGAGCATTAAGTCTTTTAGATTACATACCTCTAAAGAAGGACGCCGGTAAACACGAATCAAAGCCAACTGCTACCGAAACTGATAAATATATTCCACCAAGTACGGCAATAAAATCCACGTCTCCAGACTTTCCTGCAGGAACATCTCCTTACAAAGTCGATATCGATAAGAAACCCGCGGGAGGAACAGCACCCATCGGAGGAGAGGTCCTCATAACCCAATCTGCACCAGTTACACTTTTAAAGGCTTCGGCTAGAACGGAATTACCAACAACTGCTTCACCAGACGATAAAACGTCAATTAAACCAACAGCGGAAGCAGCTATAGGGACGACAAAGAAAGAAGACACAAATGAACCGTCAAGTAAGGCAGAAACACTTTTGGAAAAGGCAGATTCACCCGCTGCAGAAAAGGATGAAACCGAGAGGAAAGGTGAGATTAAAACTGAAAAGAAAGACGAGGTTCCTGTAATCGATCCGGAACCAAAAAAGCAAGAAAAGTCATCAAAGAACATCGATTTTGTAGCGAAAGTTCCAGTATCTTCCCAGAGTAAAACTTCAGATGAAGACGTTCCCGTGATTGATTTCTCTCCGTCATTTGTGAAGACGTCCAAATTACCTGTTTTCAGGCTGGAATCTGAGAATGCAGACACAGAAGAACTCGCTAACAACTTGAAAAACCTGAGATCTGGCATCGAGGAACCGTGTCGCGACCATCTTGGTAATTGCCGTCACACGAAGTCAAGGTACGCCAATTTAACTACCTTAAAGCATGACAAGATTGTAGTTTCTGAAAGCGATTCACTTTACTACATAAATATCAGTATAGTTAAGAGTTTCGAATGTGATTATGGACCAAGAAATATGGAGGAATGAAGTGCAGCTCCATGTTTTTACAACGCCCTCACAAGATGGACATTTATACACTATTATTAATTCCTAGATAAATATTTCTCTCTCCTCCCATCAGATCCTACCGGGTGGAGATTGAACGCATCCAGTGTCTATCATGTTGAGGCGTCGAAGGGCATGTAAAACAATTTTAGTCGATTTTCTTTTTGCGTTGTGAAACGTTGAGGGAAGAATATAAACTATTATTGATTGAAAGTAAAGTACTCAGGAAAGCATTTAAATCTCTGAATAGCGAACTTAATTGGAAACTTCGTGGTTTATGGGTCACTTAGTATTGTAAAGGCACTGGAATATAGAAGCTTACGGTGGACTGACCTTGGCCTTGTGTGGGGATATGAATGCCTGCAGAAGTTTATTACAGTAATACTTTGTTTGTTTATTTATTGCTCAATTTACGATGCTATCACTAGCTTAGAAGGCATAAGTCTAGGTCGAATGGTGGGATACATGTAGACCAGCATGGGTTTCTGAGTTCATCTGGAGCATAAGTTGCTAAATGGGATATTCATCAGAGCGAAGAATGTATACACCCCCTAAACTTTTACAGAAAATGGACCAGACATTTTACGTCCAGCACACTTTTCTTCAAGTCTTATTGTTTTAGTTAAAGTTAAAGTTAAACAGGCCATGGAGACCCATAGGATCGTGAAATGTTGATGGTCCCACATTATCTAGAAAATCGGTTCACAGACGGCCGTGAGGTTGTCAGCCTTACGCTCCGGCCGCCCTTTACGCCCCAGCAGATTCCTGGTACTCGTTTCTGTTAGAAGCTGAGTCGACACCAGGGCCATAATGCAGCTAGAAGGATTGGGTCAATTGAAAAAAAAAATCCACCTCATCGGTACTCGATCCCGTGACCTTCCGACTTGTAGCATAGTGTCTCAACCAACTACCCTACCGCATACCCCCCCCCCTTACTGCTTTAGACGTAATTAAGAAACTTAGCTAACTCTTAAGCAGAGCATACATTTCCTGAGCTGTACAATGTATGACGGGCAGGATACAGGTCCTTGAGAATCCATCTGCTGTTTCATCGCTTCTTTGAGTTCATAAAAAAATATACATTCGCTGGCCTTCCGCTTGTATACATGACTCAGCCGCTTTCTCTGCAAAAAGAAAAAAAATGCTGTAAACATGCATCTTTGGTTTGGTGCCCTTAGGATTCCGACGGAGTAGTTTTACAAAGAGATGTAGTTATATATACACGTATATGCCACGCTACCAGATAAATAACACAGATTCAGTCCCTGTGCTTTATCAGTTACCGGTATCTTTATCATACAAACTTATTTCGCGCTGTCCCCATGTTTTCGTTTTTATTTTTATTAAAAATTACTTTCGAGTCTAAACTGAAAGTGATCTAGATGAATGCGCAATGTAATTGAGTATTTATATTCTCACTTACGTGTAAGTGAAAATTAATGGAAAGCTCGTACGAGAAGACAGTGATGGTTGTCCTTGTTCTCTCGGACAAATAACCCAGTTTCTTCTAGTATTTGCGCTTCAGCGCACTGCTTTCAGTAAACGTAGATACCAATTTGTGTGTGTGCTGCCATCTAGCAATGTCCGCGCTTCCAAGTCAAGAATTTAAACTCTATCGTAATATAACTTTAGTTTACGAATGTCATATTTATAACAATTTTATCTTCTAACCTCTTGATTGTGGAATGATATGTTTTCATTACATAATATACATTCTTACATTCATTCTATAAGTTACACCATTTTAATTTGCTTGATTTAATTACAATAAATATATAGAAAGAAGATAAAATTATGTACCAAAAAGATACTTGTTATAAGATTCTTAGCTTTTTGGGATATTCAATTCTCTCGATATATATTGATCCTCAGGTTACTCGCAATTTGCTGGAAGTGTTGAGATAAATCTCGTGGAAAAGTGTTGGCTCTTAATAATGAAAAAAGATTTAAAACTAGTATCTACCTCCTTTTATGTACTGCATGTACAGTAATGGATATTTGTCTACAACAAATGAACATAAAGACTAATGAGCCATACGCAATTGGGAAAACACGTCACATCCGGAAAGAGGGCAAATGTATATCAAGAATTTCCTTTTAGCCATACGATCGTACTGACATAGTGAATTGAGATTAAGTAGCGAGTTTTCCTGTACACCATAGGAAAAGTGTTCCCGCCATAATTCACCTAGATGGGTCTTGATAGTGGCATTTCCACTGCGCCATATAGAAACAGTTCCCAGCCACGACTGATTTCGCCCTTTAGCAAAGTGGACATTAAGTATTCGGCCTGCTTTAATATTAAATATGTTTTAAGAGAGTATAATATACACTTAACAGGTGCGTTCGGCAGAAGGAAATGAAATAATTAAAACTATGCCGAGCTCTTCTCTCATATTAAGCAGAAATTAAATTCTCATGAAATTATTCGCTGTTAGGTAATGCATGATACTGAAAACTGGTGAGAAATCAAAACTGTTTAGGACCACTGAATCATAAACAATCAGCCTTCACTGATTACTGCCGGTACACATCCTAAACAAAAATAAAATATATAAATTGTTTAATGCATAGGCCTCTTTCTTTGAAGGAGCAAAACGTATATTATTTTGACACACATCGCAAGACACGGATTACACAGAATATAAGAAAAACAACCCCCATAGTGGAAGAACCACAAGNATTAGCGTAATTAGGGCATCTGATGATGGCACTATGTTGCCGAAACATGTCGTGAAGTAACAAGTGAAACTGAGTGCACTACAAGACGGCCACTGTATACATATCATGGATATTTTGACGTTGTCTAAACTTAGTAAAGAATCCCTTTTACTTTTTCTTTAAATGCGATATATTCTGGAGACGTAGTTAATTCTTGAATATGAACGTCTGATAATATCTTCATAACATCCCTTTTGCTTAATTCTCTCGAAAAATGTCTTTGACAAGAAATATGTTTCATGAGCCTACACAGCTGTATCGAGATATCTGCAGACATGCATGTAGATTTCCACGTAGAGCTTTCATTGAACCCTTCAGATCTAAATGAAAATTTATGTGGATTTACATTTATATTTTCGTAAATTTCTCCGGTTTATAATTTCATTGAAATTAGCCCAGAGGTTCTAGAATAGTTTCATGCGTACAGACGGACGGACGATTAAGCGAAATTACTATCCGCTCCGCAGGGGTACGAAGGAGCCTTAAATATCTTCATTTTCCCCACACAAGGTTTTTATGTGTTCTGTATAATTCTCAGAATAAATAAAGAATATTTCCCTACGAAGTATTAACCTGTTGTTCCTGGCAACAGAGATGCAGTGTGTTTACTGTGAGGTAGGTACTGAACTCTTATATAGTATTTAGATGGAATTCGTGCTTTTAAGGCTTATGTAAATAGTAATGACTAGATTCATTACTGTCTTTTCGTCTGCACCAGAGAAAGGAATAACTTGTAAACGGCTGACGGAAGTCAAGGCTGTGTTTACTCTAAACTATATTGTGTGGTACTAAATTTTATTCCGTACTTTTTTATTTTATTTTATTTTATTTTTGTTTTCAGAAGTGGCCAGTTCTTCGAGCCTGACAGCCTGCTCCCACTGTTACGTTTCGGGCTTTCACCGGCGGTTGACTGAAATGCCACGCTTGTACTCATAACTATTATTTATTAAGTTGTGGTATCATCTGTAATGGACTGACAGATTGTCCTACATATCGCCGGAAACGGACATATCTCTAAATTATAAATGAGTTGAAACGCTTTAAACAAGTCAGTACAAGGAGTTCGTGGGCAAATCTTCGTGGTTTCACTCCGGACGTTTCTTTTTATCATATGAGGTATTCTTGTAGCAGCTCCTAATGCATATATTTCTGCCTCGGTGTATAGCTTTCATCACCTGCAAGAATTGGTTTAATTTATACAACTGAATTGCAATGGTACCGATTTCGGATCATGCACAGTCAACCATCGAGTTGCTTTTACTTGACTGGATTTGTCTTTAATACTCAGATATTTCCGAACACACTCTTATGTCCACAATGCCTTGCAAACTTCTCGTCGGTGGTCACATATCCTGTTTGTGGTTTCCGTTTGGGAACTTTGTAGGACTTGCGTTCGGCATATATCATGTTAGGCTGCTGTGAAGACCTAAATGGCTGTTCATGTATTTTGATAAACATGAAAGTGAAGAGTTTTAGCAAAACCTCATAAAAGGTAACAAATATGTTGCTGGTTCACTTACAGGAATTCCAACCATTACAGACAGTATCTAAACGTGGTGAGCTCAAAGATGTGTTACGTATTTTAAAATAAACTGTTAGATTAAATATTATTACCTTCAGCAAAAATGTCAATTAGAACATCCCAATAGAATTCCTATGGAAACCCAAGAACTTCGCTGTAATAGCTGATCATTGCATGTTTTGTAATTGTCTTGATGGTCCATATTCGCTTAACAATTTCAGTCATCAATAGCGAAGAAATGAAAATATTTTAAGGTTAAAGAACAGGATCTATTTCTTCTAATATTGTATTGGAAGTTCAAAATACAATCATGTGCTTGATCACAGCATCGCCGTCATTGCAGAGTAGGTACCAGGTTCTGTACCAGATTAAACAGTGCTAAGGCGAACGAGGCTGAAGCAATATGGGTCAGAACTGAAACTGACAGCTTAATGCAGGAATTCCTTTGGTAAACAAATGACGAAGGTGGGTTCTGACCCTTTCTTCCCCTAAGTGGTAATTATTGAAAATCATAAACTTATGAATTTGAGCTACAATAGGATCTTCAGATTAGCAAATCTACGTATAGTAAGACAGAAAATATTGTAAGTTAGTAACTATAACATTTAGTGATTCATTATTTGCATAAATTCGACTAATAGAGTCTGCAGTTTTCACGAGGAACTACCCAGTAAAGCCTTGAGGTGTCACGAATGCAATTCCAACACATTGTTTCACATGGACTCAGCCCTATTTGTACTTATGATCTATCGATCTGATTCTTAGCTATCCATTTACGACTTACATTAATATCCAGATATTAAGATGCTCTATTTACAATGGCCTCATGTGAACTGCCTACATGTACACGAACTCTCGACCGCCGAAGGCCTGGGGCGGCTCCACTACCCCGCGAATCGACATTACATAACATCAGGGGACAGAGGCGTTAGAAGCATCTTCACAATTCAAAGCACTTACTTGCGAGACACTTGAATCGTCTTGTTACACAGTAAGTTTTTTTTTCTCACTCATGGGTTGAGACTGAGTCTACTTGGTGCTATGGTCACTCTTTGGTCTTTCGTAACAGCACCAGATGATAGATGATGATGATGACTGTGGAGCAACCGGCGGAATGCTAATTGACAAGGGAAATTGAAGTATTCGGAGAAAACCTGCCCAAGTGCCACTATGTCCACCACAAGTCCCACATAATCTGACCAGGGCTCGAACCCAGGTCGCCGCAGTAGGAAGCCGGCGACTAACTGCCTGAGTTATAGAACGGCCCACATTAAAGTAGCCTAAAATTGGCTTGTGCGCATGACTATAAGAGTGCCAAGTAAATGAGATGTAACAGTGAGGCTAATCCAGTCCAAAGATTTGTGTGGGGAAATATGTATAGAATCAGGAATTCTTACAGACCTGAAGCGAGAACCCTGGCTCTCACCCCCGAGTATAGGTCAGCTTCTACAAATAACTAACAGTACGGCGTCATATAGCTTTACCGCTTATATTTTTCATAAAAGTTCCGGATGACGACCACTTTCGAGTGGGCATAAATCATACATTCGTGAAGTCTTGCCCCTGTCCACATGATTCTCACACCGAAACCTTACTAAAGAGTACAGTTCGCGTCTATCATTTCTTACATCAAATTCGGGTTTCAATTACGCCGCGGGATCATGCAAGTGACGCACCGCCTTCCACGTGTTTTACATTAATGCTGTGAAGCGCATTTCCCGCATGTTGACATGAACAACACGTAGGTCCGGTTTCTGATGAGTACGATCCCACGGAAGGCCAAGTAACATAACATTACCGTGGGTGTGGCAACAGGTTCCACTTGTATCCGAGAGATACTCAGTTCAAGGCCTGGCTTGGGAACTAGCTGCAATGACAAAGGTGTTTCGTAGCTTCCTTCTTCCATGCGAATACCAGGACAGGACAACGCTCTTTTGCACGTTATATTATGTCGTATTTACTTACTTACTTACTCATGGAGCTGAGCCCTTCTGGAGGAGCCGCAAATTCTGCAGCTACTCGAGAATTTCCCAGCATTTTATGGAACCCGAAGGTTCATTACCGTGTTCACAAGAGCCTTCCACTTGTCCCTATCCTGAGCCAGATCTATCCGATCCATACCATCCCATCCTATCTCTCTAAGATCCATTCTAATATTGTCCACCCACCTACGCCTTGGTCTTCCCTGTGGTCTCTTTCCTTCTGGCTTTCCCACCAATATCCTACACGCATTCCTCGTCTCCCCCATTCGTGCTACGTGACCTGCCCACCTCATCCTCCTTGACCTGATCATTCTAATTATACTTGGAGAAGAGTACAAGATATTATGTCGTATAAGATGGAAAAATGAAAGTGACTAGTGAGTAGACAAGGACTTGGAAGTAATTGAAGTGTATGTGAGAATACTGCCATGCCATTCGCTTGAAGGGACCCTGACAAACACAAACTAGGATAGGCTGTACAAGGTCAGGCTCGAACCTGATATCTCCTGGTCATAACTTCTTCATTAACGTGGTCGATTTGTAACAGGGAACACTGGGAAGTTCTCTCTGCATCCGTAATGATCGCCCTCTTAAGCCCTATAGATGGTGGTACGTCAGGCTTACCGAACTGAAAGCCTGGCGTGCCCACAATATGCACCGGCTGTCAAGACGTACCATGGAGACAGCTGCTGTGCTACGAGTTGTTTTACTGCGTGACAGTGCAATGACTATGGCAATTTTCAAGACAAGAGAAACCGTCCTGTGATCTACACAGCAAACAGACCGTGATATTTTTGTGTTAGGAGCCAGGATACTTCAGTCAGTATGGTCACTAAGATATTGGTTGGACGAGCGAGGAACTGGAAGTCGAGTCCGGCAGAGGCAGAATATTTTTTCCACTGTATTTAGACCGGCTCCGGGATCCATCCAACCTCCTATTCAATGCATACCTGGGGCTTCTTCCTCGGGGATATAGCGACCGGATCGTGAAGCTCAATACTCGTCTCCATCTAGTTCTTAGGTTAATAAAGTGTGAAAATACCCTCCACTTCCCCATACGTCTTCATGATGTGGTGTTTAATTACGCACAGTGGAACATTTACCCTACCTTTTTGTTAGATGTGCCTGGTGGCTGAAGGACTGGAGGCATTCAGTGGCCAAGGGATTCTCAAATTTGTTGAGTTAGTTAAATGCACATGTATCATATATTCAAAGTTCTTGTAGGCTTATGTAAAAGTCTGTCTGGTGCTCCTTCAGCTAGCAGTGGTTAATATGTTAACGTTTTTTATTTTATTCTGGAGTGTAGAATATGCCATAAGAAAAAACCCACAAAATTAGGAAGCTTTGGAAATGATTACAGTAAATCAGATTTATAATGTTAATATATTCGGGGAAAATGTATATCATAATATATGACAAAACTTCTCCTAAAATTCGTAAAAATACTGCTCTAAAAGTAAATATACACAAAATCGAAGTTTATAATAAAGTCAGAGTGTAGCTATGCAATTAATGAGTTGTTTAAGCATTTCTGAACAGCAAGAAATAGAAACGAAAATGATTAACGTTTGAGAAGCATATATTCTGGAAAAGCCTGTCATTGTTTCTTCGAAAGCGTTTGTTATCATGGCCATTTTTCAAAATGCTGAAGATCTGGATACATAAAACAGTAATTTATCCACTTGATTTTATGGTTGTAAAATATGGTTCTTTGCGTTGAGAAGAGAGAATAATTTGAACCAACGTACATAAATTTGTGTCTATTACAGATGAAGCAACTGGCTATTTCTTTTATTGCTAGTGGGGTGGGACTAAGTCCCTTGTACTGCGGCCACTTGTGGCCTATTGTACCAGCCCCAGATGATAGTTCAGGGTGATTGTGGAGCAATAGGTGGAATGAAGATTGGCAGGGGAAACCGAAGTACTAGGAGGAAACCTGCCACAGCGCCACTTTGTCCACCACAAATCAAACTTGACCAGACCCGGGATCGAACCCGGGCCGCCGCGGTGGGAAGTCAGCGACTAACCGCTTGAGCTACGGCGCGGCCTACGCAACTAGCTAACTTAGGGTGTTCATACAAAGACTTTGTGATTTATACAGACCATCTCTTTCTTTTGGGAGAATAAGAGGTTATGATGCACTGGATATGGGGAGAGGATGCAGGAGACAAGGAAGGCATGTAGAAATTTTGGCGGAGAAACCTGTTAGAAAAGAGATTTGGAACACAGACAAGAAAATGGAAGGATATATTTAGACGGAGCTTAAGCTGGTAGGTAGTGAGGATGAGAGGTGAATGAAGCTACTTTTTAATCGTTTCTCAAGACACAGTTTGGTATTAGCGACGTTAACCTTCTGGTTTTGCTGATATAGCATAAGATTTCCAGATAGATTAAGACATTTTCGCCTATGGAATGTCAATTAGGCACCTCTGTGTAACTTCTGTGTAAGAGAAGTTGCCACGATGCAAAGGCGAACTTCTCAAACCTGCCCCTCAGTTGAATAATTAAGTTTGCTGCCTCCACGCCCACAGCGAGCCAATAATAAACTTGCTGCTAACTACAATCGAATGTCAGTGGATGGGTGTATTCAAGCGTATGTCTAATGGAATACAAGCTTTAGGAGGACTATATTTTGCAGAGCGGAATGATCTGTACTTTGCTCGGGATATGATCATTCTCCTTGTCAATATCATAATATCGCAGCTAAAACTTTAAAGAAAAATAACATACAGATAAAAAAAATGGAGTTTATTTGTGTAATTAAAAATAGACTGGGAATAAGGACTTGAAATGCAACCAACAGCTCTACCACAATACTTACACATCGCTCTAACGACCACTATTTTAACGTGGGAGTATGCATATGTGCCGTTCATAATAGCCGCGCGCTATAAGGCATAATCTGTCTTCGCTCACTCGAACGCAGGGATCATGGGTTCGATTTCCACTCGAGGTATGATGTCTGTGTTTTTGTGTTTGTATAGAAAGCGGCCTGGATGCCATATGCTCCAAAGTGGGGGCAACATTGTGCATAAATACGGGGGTAAATTTTTCTTTATTAGATCCGCGCTAACAAAGGGAAACAGAGGGAAATATTACAGTTTATGTATGTTAC